CTTTCCTACACATATAATAATATACATAAATTATATAAATTATAAATAAATTATATAAATTAATAAAATATAATAATAAAATATATGAACAAAATATTGAATATGTAGTACACATTCTTTATTGTAATTTTTAGTGATAAAGAAATAAAAATTTTATACGCAACTGAGAAAAATGCTTATCTTACGAAAGTTATGAAAAAAAATTTATTTTAGAAAATTATATATAACAAAAAATATTTAAAATATTTTCTTTATCTGAAATTTTGAACAAAAACACCTGGAAGATTAAGGAATTTTTGATTTACCTCGTTATGTACAATTATATATATTGTATTACGCTATCACAATAATTTATTAAATAACTTAATTTTTTACAATATTCCTTGTTTCAGAGTCTGGCCACAGGTTGGACAGCGGTTCCTCGTTTTGGAGGATTCAACTCGATCAGGACCTTCTGGACACCATCAGCGCGATTTATCCAGAGTGGTTTAAGGTAAGCTTAAAGCTTATATTTCTCTCCGGCGTTATCAGAATCGGCAGCATCGACCAGCCGACCGTCTTTTCGGCGCGCTCGTTGAACGAATGCGGGATTAACGAGGTGTGCGCTCCTCGTACAGGATTACACTAACAGCCGAGCAGCATCGGCATCGTCGTCCCTCACGTCTTCGGGCGCTTCCAGCGCGCAATCCTGCGACGAGAACGCCGCCGTGGTCGTCGCTACCGAACGCGGCGGCGAGCACAAGATCGCCAAAGGCGACGCCAAGTCGAGATCCAAGGTGAAAAAAGCGGACGGCCACAAGGATAAGGATCGGGACAGGAAGGATCCTAGGCGCGACGCCAAGGACGAGAGGTGAGATAACTTGCATGTCGCGCGTCGTATGCAGATTTCAACGACACGGAGCGAGAAGGATAGAGAAACTCTCTCTCTCTCTCTCTCTCGCCGAGAGAGAAACTCGAATTATATCGTCCGAATATTAATAAAACCTCGTGAAATCGCGAAATGAGGAGAATATTCGAGTCGCGTTATCACTTTCTACCGGTGTGCGAGTATAACCGGTACGCGACATCCCGTATAAATAGAACAAAGTATGCGCGCGATTTCTCGATCGGCGCGAGGCCGAGGCGTTATCGCGATCGAAAAATAGACGCGTCGCTCGACACCTGCCTCTCGATTATTTTAACAAGCTCCAAGAGCGGGCCTCCCTAACGTTTTGTCGCGCCTCCACCACGTCATTACTACCTCGGCAGACATTATTGCTCTTAATCCGCGACCGCGGTCGTAACAGAAAGAAGACAAGTTGCTAAGAGCGGAGATTATCGCACGGTTCCAGGAGAATCTTGCCTGGGTGTATCTCGCGATACACGCTCAGAACGCAAATTTCGAATTAATATTTAATGCGTGTAATATACATTTTTTAATCAACGCGATTATATTGGGGATGGAGGGAGATTTAAATTTTATCAATTTGCGATAACACTTGAGAGAACATTTGATGATAATATCTGATTTCACGTAATAACTAAATAAGATTTATACTTTTGACTTGAGAGAACCTTTGATAGGAAAATCCTTAAATGGGAGGGATTAAAATTACTTCTCGCGCACGCCTTGGGCCTCTCCACGTGCCTTAATCCGCCGCTGTTGCGAGTTGCGAGATCGCGCGTTTAGAGCCCGCGCCGAGCGAGCGATTAACCCGCAATTTAGTATCAGTACCGCGTGTAATCGTTACGCGAGAATATAAACGCTCTTAACGACCGGCTTCCTATCTCCAGCTGTGACGAAGTAATCTTTTCTCGGAACTTTCCCCTCGGGATCTTAAACTACCTCGCTCGGATCGTTGGCTCTCGATGCTTTAAAATCTTTAATCGACTCGCCACTTTCCTACCTATCTACTTACGGACCATGCGTAATTTTCTCTGATATTTTCGCGAATTTTTTACGTGACATTTTGCTCGCGCGACGCACCATTCTCGTCTTATGCGTCGCGAGCCACCTGGACTCTCGTGGGACTCTCGTAGAACCATCGTCGGGCCATCGAGATAAATGTTTTCACCCTCCGATGACTAAAACGGTTATTCTTACCCTTTCGCCGCAGGAGGAACACGACTCGATATTCCCTCTATATTATACCCAAGATTATTCCGCCACATTTATTTTACCATATTTACGCGTCCATTTTATACGGTACTTGTGTTATCTGAGAATGGATCGATAGAAAATATCTTCGTTATCGTGAAAACTTGAGGCGCTGCAATATTAAAGAATTCGATTCCTCGCGAGATATTTAAATATTTTTTTTATGTTAAATTTTTTTTTATATTAAATATTTCATCAAATATTTTTTTTTTGTTAGATATTTCTTTTTATGTTGAATATATATATATATTTTTTTTATGTTGGTATATTAATTCGAATTTTTAATTTATTCAAGACTGAACATATTCGTGAAATTTTAACTTGGAAAAAATGTACACTACCCGACAATGATCCGTTTTGTGTCCATAGTGAGGTAAACATAGGTGGGGATAACTTCTTCTATATAAAGTATGTAAACAGTGGAAGGGGATCGACGGCGTATGGCATACAACGCGTTATTGTTTTGATACATTGTCATGTTATCATTGCTGAAGGAAGGCAGCGGCACGAGTCGCTCCGTATATCGTCGCATTTTTCTTTTTTAAAGAAACGTAATTATTCCAAGCAATTATTACAATTTGCGATTAACATTTTATAAACATATACTGTCTGTTGACAACAGAGTCGTGACGAGTATAAAAATAATACAATTTTTCTGGTTGAGTAAATCGTATTTTCGTGTGATCGTAATATTTTCAGCATGAATAATCATTGTCGGGCGGTGTCCATAATATATTACTATAGCTTTTTAAAATTTATTCGAGTTTAAATATATACATTTATATGTGTGTACACACACTTCGGGTACAAATTCTCGATGTAAATACAATTCGATATCATCAAACATATTTCTTATTCGGTGAAGATTCGCGTCTCGCTCTTGAGAGAAGAAAAGAGCAGTCGTTTCCGATGCTTTTTGATGAAAACGTCGTCCGATTGAGTGTCGATTGATCCGTCATTCCATCATCCGCGACCCATAGTGAGGTAAACATAGGTGGGGATAACTTCTTCTATATAAAGTATGTAAACAGTGGAAGGGGATCGACGGCGTATGGCATACAACGCGTTATTGTTTTGATACATTGTCATGTTATCATTGCTGAAGGAAGGCAGCGGCACGAGTCGCTCCGTATATCGTCGCATTTTTCTTTTTTAAAGAAACGTAATTATTCCAAGCAATTATTACAATTTGCGATTAACATTTTATAAACATATACTGTCTGTTGACAACAGAGTCGTGACGAGTATAAAAATAATACAATTTTTCTGGTTGAGTAAATCGTATTTTCGTGTGATCGTAATATTTTCAGCATGAATAATCATTGTCGGGCGGTGTCCATAATATATTACTATAGCTTTTTAAAATTTATTCGAGTTTAAATATATACATTTGTATGTGTGTACACACACTTCGGGTACAAATTCTCGATGTAAATACAATTCGATATCATCAAACATATTTCTTATTCGGTGAAGATTCGCGTCTCGCTCTTGAGAGAAGAAAAGAGCAGTCGTTTCCGATGCTTTTTGATGAAAACGTCGTCCGATTGAGTGTCGATTGATCCGTCATTCCATCATCCGCGACAAAAACATGCCTCGACGACGAAGGACCCGGGATCCGATTGACACTGGATCGGTAGCCGGTACAGGCTGAATCGGTTTCTCTTGGAACCGACGACGCGACGTGGCACACACGCGGCGATGTATGAAAGATTAATTCACAAATCTCATTTTGCTCGTTTCGGGCCTGCAGGGACGCTGGAAACGGTAAGAAAGGGACGAAGCCCTCGCCGCAGCAGGATAAAGCAGCGGCGGACGCGGCAGGAAGGAAGGCCGCCGGTGCTGCTGCTCCAGAATCGGGATCGGAGATGGCCGAGGGCAATCAGTCGCCGCCGAAGGCGGAGGTCGATGATTCCCCCCTTCAGCACGCCATGGATCGCAACAAGGAATGTGAGTACAAATCTCTCATCGGCTCTGACCGAATATTAATTTAATGTGAAAACTACTTGAGGGAGGAATCGAATTGTGTCGATCGGATCTTAATTTGTTAAACTTTTTTAAATTCTATAAAGAATTCTTATTTACTTATATATATATATAATTCATGTAATGAATTATACCAAAAGACAAACGGCCGCAATACAACGAGAGACACGATAAAGTGATTTTGCAGCATGACAATGCTCGACCTCATGTTGCGAAAGTGGTCAAGACATACTTGGAAACGTTGAAATGGGAAGTCCTACCCCACCCGCCGTATTCTCCAGACGTTGCTCCCTCTGACTATCAGTTGTTTCGATCAATGGCACACGGCCTGGTTGACCAGCACTTCCGGTCATATGAAGAAGTAAGAAATTGGATCGATCCGTGGGTCGCTTTAAAAGATGACCAGTTTTTTCAACGCGGGATTCGTACGCTGCCCGAAAGATGGGAGAAAGTAGTGACCAGCGATGGACAATACTTTGAATCATAAATGTATAACCAGTTTTTTACAATAAAGCCTCGAATTTCGGAAAAAAAACGGCGGAAGCAAAGTTGTACACCTAATAATATATTATTATTTTGAACACAATTTTAATTTTAATTGTATTCTTTCATAAAAAGATATCAAATGTTGATTAGGTTGTATATCGTTCAATAAAAAATAGATGAAAGAGTTTTTAAAATCTCGTTTACACATTAAGATCCGTCGATATTCGGTTTTTTTCTCACCTATTTTACTACAGTCTACTTTACTCTGTCTTCGAACTTTACTGCCGCATTCATTTCGCGGCTCGTCGTAGAAACGGAAACGTCGCTTCTCGACGTCCGGAATAAACGATGAATAAACAGTTAACGGCTGCGATCGCTTCCGATCGAATAATCGCGCGAGATTCGCTTATTATGCGATGCAGTCCGAGCTGTCTATCGCGCGTGTGCTCGTCATTGCAGTTATATACTGTTATACAATAGAATGAGCATCCTCTCGAAGGCTGTTTGTAAGGGAAGAGTTAAATGCGGAGAGGGTTCTTTTTTTTTTTACATTTGCGGGCAACTCGCCATTATATTCCACGACGACTTTAATCATCCGCTCGTTATTTGGCGCTCGATCATCGATTCGGAGAATCTGATAACTTTTTAAAATAAAACAAAAAGCATGCGCAGCGTAGTATAGACGAAATTTTTATTTGCCGTGCAAACTGCTGTCCTCCACCAGGCCATTCACCACTTCCGTTACTACTACCGGTACCATCCGATCGTTCCTCAAGCTAGAGACTCGTTTTGTATTCGGAACGCAACTTCCCACAAGTAGGATAGACGCATCAGTCACATCGACGCTACCTCGCAATTGTATATATATATTTTTTTTTTTAATGACGAATTTAGAATGCGAATAATATTTGACTTTCGATTTTATAAATTGATATAAGAGTTTTGAAACTGATATAATAGTTTCTCATTCTTAAAGAACATAAAACATAACTGTTATTTTTTTATTTCTCAGTTTTGTCATAAAATTTTGTTTTCGAAAAACAAAATTTTCACTTTTTGATTTTTAAGTATTAACAGTTTCGTGTATATAAAGCTGGCATATCATTTTGTGGAAACTCATAAATAATTAAGAGTTTTGATTTTATTTTCAATAGTTCTGTAATTCTTGATATATTAAAATTTAAACAATCATGAAATATTTTCTTTTGGTTTATTTACTGAAACAATCAAGAATATATAAAATAAAATTATCGAAAATAAAGCTAGAACTTTTAATTATTTATGAGTTTTTACGAAATAATAAATAGCTCAGTTTTACACAATTATATCTGCATAATTTATTTGAGATGTTTTTAATTTACATCGATTAAAAGAAACTGAACATTGTTCGTAGGCAGGTATATAATTGATCCTTATTTCAAAATTTTTAGACAGATTTCTCAGATTTTAGACAGTGTGATGAATCGTTCGCGTGCCAAGTTTATTTTATTCACAAATTCGGTATACACACACATAGATACATACACAAACATACACATCGATATGCCGTGATCGCGAGTCTCATTAAAATTATGGGAGCATAGGAGGGATATTCTTTAGAACGTCATTTTGTCGCTTTATCAGTCGCTTTTTTCTGTAATGGTTTCTTGCCATCAGGCTCTCTCGAAACGCTCTCCCTTCACAGGCTGTGCTGCGAAGGACGCGCATCATCTTTCAATGATAATACGCAATGCGTGTGTGCTCGTTTGAACAATATACACGGACCGCTTTTACGTGCACCTGAAAGAACATAATATCCGTGGACAGCCATGGAAATTTCATTAATGTCATTCTTTTTATCTTTTCAAGTAAAATTTCAAAAATGTATCACAAGAAATCATTTAAGAAACATGTGAATTAAGACGTTGATATACATATAAAAATTTAAATATTACAATCATTTTTAATAAAATCGATTATTTCTACTAAAAGAAAAATTTCAAAAAAGCAACTTTAATAAATTATTAAATTTAGAACAAATATAAATAAAATAAATTTAATTATAAGTAAAATAGATTTCTGCAAAATTGTCCAATATTATTGACAAGTTTTTGAGAAATTCGACAAGCGTGTATTTTGATCGATATTACGCGATCATCTGTATATATGTTTACGCGTCCCTTAAAGTTTACGTATATATGTGTGCGTGGCGGTCTGCAGGAAAGAGACAGTGCCCGGCAGGTAGGTGCAGATTCGCGTGTGCGGATCTTGTACACGCGTATGTATGCGCGCACGCGAGAGACAGGAGGCGTGTCTATTTATAACGGTGATATCATCGCCGATTACCTACGCTTTCGCGTGGACAGTCGTAAATTCTCGTAGCAGAAGGGTGCGGGGCCGATTTCAGGCGCTTTACAAAATATCCGACGTAAACCTTTTTCTCCTCGTTCCTTCCCTTACGTCTCGTCATTTTTCTATCATATTTTTCTAGACTGTCATTTTTATTTATTTTTTTTTTTCTGACCACTTCAAGTGTGACCCAAAACTTTCAATACAAACATCGTGAATAATTGAACATTTCTTGAATCTTCTTTGTCCGACTAAAAACATCTTTTTTCACTGACTTTTACGAACCGATTATATTATTATTCAATTATATCTACGATGTTTCAAAAAAAGACGATGAAAAATTAAATAAAGAAAGAGGAAAATAAGAAGACTGATAAATTTGGAATAAAAATAACTTTATTAATTTTAATTATCATATCTTTTTGTAAACATTACAACTAATATTATGGCTGGCGATAAAATTAAAATATTGACAAATATTTTTAATTGAACACAATTTTTTTGTATTCTTTATCGCGTTACATATATAAATTTTTTTTTATTACTTTCAATTCCTTTAGCTTTATGTGATTTTCACAGTTTGCAAGACTTGTTGCAACAGCATCGTACACATCTCTGTAGATGAAATATTCGACGAATTATATTGATAAAGTAAAGATATATTCAGTCTGTCTCGACCGTATCTCTATTTTATAGCGCTATAAAGGGATATAATGAATTTCTTAATGCTCATTCGCGGGAGTATCGCGCATTTAAGATGCGAACATACGCCGGTCGCAGATTACATTGGGCTAATTATCGTCGGCTAAGTATCTCGCCCTAATCGACGACGATCCATGCATTCGTTACGCCGGCTCGCGCAAACCTGCGCGCTCGTTTCGTAATGGAAAATTATGTCAGAATTATGCCGTATACTCGAAGGGGTCTCTCTCCTTTCCATCCTGCGAAACCGATAACCTCGAGCAGCGCTGCAATCGCGCGTTTAATGAGACATCATCATTAATGGAACGTCCCACGCGACAAGCTCCTTCGATCGTTACAAAAATCGTCGTGTATTTTTTTCAAACAACAACAGTGCCGGATTTACAAATAAGCACGATTAGAGATCTTATTTTAAGAATTTTTTAAGAAAAATTGGGCCTTTTTTAAATTTATAATTTATTTCAGAAAAATTTTTAATTTACATAGATTTTTTTATAAATAATAAGTAATTAATTTCTGAATAAAATATTACTTTATTTAATAAACAGTGACATAAATTATGTCGTTCTCAAGATATCAAGATATCAGAAAGGGACTGTTGATATTATTATAATGTCTTAAGCTCTCTAAATCCATCATTGCGTAGAAAGTGAAACGTTTTCACCATGAAACAAATCGAGCGGAAACGAATTTTGTCGAATACTAATTGGCGTCGGCGATAAAGTATATAAGATATCTCGGAGGTTTCGTAATTAAAAAGAAGAGACTCAACTTCCCTTCTCTTCCCCGTAAACTCGCATCCTGATGGCGGAATCCCTCGCCAATCGTTATCGACATATCTGTACAAGTATGAACGCGATACGAATATATTTCGAACGAATGCCTTTTAAGATAGTTTTTTTTTATCGGTTTTCAAATTTCGCTTCTCTTGACTTTCGTGCCGTCGGTATATCGAGGAAAAATGCGTTGCGTATTAAGATAAGATTAACATTTTCTCGACGATTTATTGCACCACCTACTTAATTATGAAGACAGTTTTACATTTAACAGATGTGTTTAAATTTTTCTTTTTTCGATTTCTTTTCTTTTTTCTACGTTAACATTGGCTGCTCAAAATACGGGTTATAATTATTTGACAATATTTGCTTTTTTTTATCGATAACTTTTTATTGACCTCTTTGTATAAGCAAGTTAACAAGATGGATTTACGACGTCGATCGTTACTTTTGATTCCGGAAGGTGGTTCGACAAGAAGAAAAACCGATTCGATCAGCACATACTCGCACATTCGCGCTTTTTCCTCTAAACGCCGAAAGCCACCACGCGCGCCTTTACCGGATTTAATTATATGACCGCGTTCATTGGTTCCACACTTTGAAAAGTCCACGACGGCCAATTACGGGACCGCGGAAACCGCGTTTTTCATGCGATGGACGACTTTC